TGATAAATTCCAATTAATTATGTTTTTTTTAACTGTTCATATTGTCGGGATTGCTATTTTTATTGTTTACTTCACAGTGTTTTTAATGACACAAACATGTTTGAACATGATTAAATGCACTTATTATGTGCTGTTTAGTGACATGAGTCACACATTTCTTTATGTGAGGGGTATCCTAAATCAGCGCATTAAAAATGGGTATGGTTTCCAGAGCAGTATGTGTGTTTGTGGTGCTGTGAATGCTGTGTCCCAGCTTTACAGTTACAGAATATTGTGATAAGTATTGCCCACCCCTAGTCTCAAGCCTTTTGTAGCCTCCTTCAGTTTTTCTTCCAGGACTACTCTCAATTTAGCTCCAACCAACTTCCCATCAACTTTGCCCGGCTTTCTGTCCCAGTTTAAAAGAAGCTTTCCTTTTGCATGATGCAGCAGTAGCATCATTTTGCTGACATCTTATTGTTATGTCCCACTTTGAGTAGATCTATCATACGAATTTCAGTTATTCCTTAATATGTTTTAGATGTGTCGATTTCAGTGACTTCCTCCCCAGTTTTGCCTGATTGCACTTTACTTGTTTTACAGCAACGGCTACACACCTGATAACCAGAAAGCAGAAAACAAGTTGCATTGGAAAAACGCTGTATGGGCGCAAAACAAAAATTCAGCAGAACATACAGTGTATTATGGACCTCAACATTATGATGCATGAAAAATTGAATGTTCATGGCTCGTCTTCAAGTAAATCTAAGAGCGGGCAATGTGTAAACAAGAAACGTAACTTCCTCATTACAGATGGGGATCTAAGACTTCGAGCTATTTCCATCCTTCAACTGTAGTGGCAGGTGAGAACATTCCACTTTGGTAATTATAGCACAAAAAGGCTTGCTGTACACAAATCTGGAGTACGGATTAGGCTTGCGTGCTACTCAAGGTGTCCCTTAGTCAGGTTTGTTTGACCGATTACCCGGCTCATCTCATTACCCTGTCAATTACTTCCTTGTCCTTTGGGACCATCGTTAGGTAAGCCAGAGCCAAGAGAAGCCATTGATAAGACGAAACGGGTGGCTTCGGAGAGAAGGCAGTTAAAAAAAACACCACGGCACGTGTGCTCTCTCAAGCTGGACTCAGTAGACCAAAGATCAGGTCCCTTAAGCTGCTTTTCTAAGGCAAGAAAAGCTTACAAGTTGTCACGTTGGTCAAAACAAATGGGTTCTGTTTTAGGCCCTGCAGCGGAGCCTGAGAATAGGTTGTGCTCAGTGGGAAGACAACTGAGGCTTCTTTTCTTTAAGGTACATCATGTCTGAATGCTCACCAAGGCTCATGGCTGGAAGAACACTTGTGAGTTTGTGGTCCACTGGCTATGAAAAATTAATGTATAAAGTCCTTCTTATTTGGCATTTGAAAAATACAATTCTATTTGAAAGGAATACTCTGCTTTGTGCAGGCAAAAAAATATGCCTGTGAATTATTAATGAGCAGATGTAGAAGCTCTGAACAAGAAATTGAAGGATTAACAGTGCATATCATGTGCCGAGAAATGGGAACTGAGATATGTACATTTCATAATACCTCAGTGGAAATTCTTAGTCATTTTACATGAATTACAAAAATCCTTTCATCAGCCCAGTAGAAACCTCAAGTGTTTCTACCGAGTTGTGCAATTGGACTTGGATCAATCCCTCCAACCCTGGACGAGTGCAAGTACATCCAAGCAAACAGTTAATGCCCCAATATGTCCGCTGGACAAAAACAGTGCAAGACAGTAACACACATATTGTGTGCAAATACAGCAAAAATAAATGTTTGTGTTCCCTTGATGTCAATATTTTTCAGAGAGCCCTGGAAGATCTAGACACAATTAAAGCAGCTCAGTGTGGAGAATTTACCAAGTCTTTCCAAATTTGGAGGGAGCAAACTTGGTAATAGAACAGTTTCTTGTAATTGGGACCGCCATAGTAACATCAAGCAAAGGAATGTTGTAATGCTGGAATTACAACATTCTTTCATTTGCATTGAAGTGAAAGAAGTTTCAGTAAATGAGAAAATGCTGCATTCAGACTGAATGTATTTCATGTCAAAAAAGATGTCCAAAGCCTCAAGTTGGACGCTTGATTTCAAGCATCAGTATTACTCTAGATGCGTGTCTTTCCACACTTTGCTCAAACGCGCATAGAGAGCAACTGGGAAGAGCCTCTTTATATTTCCTCTGCTAGTCTCTTTGTATAATGGCAGAAGAAAATGAGGGGGACTTGGCTTTATTTATTGAATCAAGCAGCTCTGGTCTGTCTGGATCTGCCGGATAATTCAAAGAAGTTCTGAGTTTGTTGAGTTCCACAACCTACTCTAGGTGCTGTGCGCTTACAAGGGTTGCTTTCACTGTTATCTTAGTCTCATCCAAACCCAGTTTGATGACTCACATTGGTGCCTGCATGTCTTGCCAGGACACCAGATTTTCCTAAATTTTCCCAACTCTAGCGTCTGCTGCTTTGGATGTGTTGTACACGCATTAAAGGTTTGAGATCTGAAATGCGCAGTGCTAAACAAACTACAAGACCTCTCGACGTGCCCTAAATGTGTGACCACCATAGACTTTGCATGTGATCTAGTCGCCCCCAACACTCAAATCCTGTTCGGTCTGAACTATGACTTGTTAGCAATTGTGCCTCCGCATTTGTAGTCAAAAGTATTATTCTCAAAATAGTACAAAAAAACCTAAAGATGAACTGAAGCCATAATATGAGATATCCAACAGTTTGCCATGTTTAAAAGAAAATCCATGTAATCAAAGAAGCGAAAACACAAGGAACATGCCCTTTTCTTATTAACTCTACCAAAGCTGCATACTTTGGTGACATGTGGAAGTTGAACAAGGTTGGTATGGGGAACAAGATCAAAGCCTTGAATGAGCAGAGGAAGTTATCTTCCTCCAAGTATTTGGAATGCGTTTGTGTGTTTTTTTTACCTCTCTTTTGGTGCCTTTTATCGACCTTTAGCGGTCTCTACTGTCTCGGCAAGTCTGCACACTGCAGAGGTTATCAACACCTGTGCTAGTCATGCAAGGCAGATCGTCTCGCCGCCTGCCGATACACAGGCTTGATAAATGTTGGAAAATGCTGTGGTCAGGTCTCAAGATAGACCAAGAGCTGCTGGTGGTGCTGCTGCAGCAGAGGGTGGAGAATCATTGCATAAGCCAGACACACTTGGGTGAACAGCTTCGCCTGATACGTATAACTTACAGCCCGGCACACGCTGTAGGGGAATTGGATTAGCTCCTGGCAAAGAAAGAGGATTATAGATGTTTGACTTTAAATGTGCTTCTGAAAGATGGATTAACAATAGCCTTCTTATCCGTATTTTTTTTCCTCGTTGAAATATGAATTACTAAGCTGTAATATAATATTCACTGTGTTGAGTATATAGTGTCAGTGTGGGAACTGGCAAAGCACCAAGCAGAAAGTCGCATCCAATCCTCATAGGCGTGCCTGTCATTACGTTTGGGCTTAATGACAGTAACATAAATGCTAATAACCTCTTTCAGACTGTAGTTTGGTGCTTTGTCAGCGATGATGGAAAACCCACAATGATTTTGTTTTCCTCCATCTACAGTCTTTGCCATGGCCTGTTCTGATTTGCAGAAGTGGCTACATTCCATAAATGGCCATTGAAGCACGGCGCACAACACAGATAAGCACCGAGAGTCTCCAAAACCGTCTCCGTACAGTGAACACACAAATAAGCCGACGCTATTATCGGAATCCATTTGTGTAGGCGGAATACAGTAAAACGCAGGCCTGCACGGATGCTGCAATCTGCCGAGGCCACTCAGTTCGAAAAGGTTGGCTTGTGCATGGGAGCACCAAAATGACACATCAACTCTCATCTATATTTAACCCACTGAATCTCCTTCCAATGTTCCCATCCTTTCACAGGAAGTTGCCAGGGAGTGTGGTGAGAGAACAAAGAAAAAAAGAAAGCTGAGGTGATATCTAATTACTCTGAATTGATTCATCCTCCTACGTCTCTTCAATGCACCCACACACTGACATAATGAAATACAAGGAAGGCTTGTTTCTGTTTGCAACAAATACTTTAAGTCTAGCTGCTCCTATTTATAGAGTCAAAGGAAACCCTTTACAGGTTGACTCTTGAAACCTGCAGAGTCACAGAGCGTAAACGCCGTATGTGGGTGGCAATCTTGATCTGATTAGGGCTTTTCTTAGTTACTTCAAAGGATAGGGTGGTTAAAAAAAAGAAGAAAAATCACAAACCAGAATCTGAAAAGTCATTTCCTCACCCTGTAGATAAAAGTCATTATAAGCGCACAAGATAAGCTTTTTAGAACAATATAGAAGCTTGGAAACCTCCTTTAATGCATTTCTTTAGATAAAGATTTGACTTTTCTGTTGTGCCAACATTCTCTACCAATCAATAAAAACTTCAGTGTTGTGATAAAACATTTTTTCAAGCTTTCAGCTTAGATTTTCTGTTTTTGACCACATGTCAAAGCCCTAAAATGTGAAGTCAGGCAGCTAGAGCGCTTACTGTACAGACCTGCTGCCAGGTAGCATTCAAAATACAAACGGGGAACAACAGATGTTAAACAGATTTTATTTAAAAACAGGATCAAATGTGAGTTTTAATTGTTTTTGAACAAAGAGCGAGAACTATGCTTATACTAGGTCCAAAGGACATGAAAGTCAGCCATATTTCTATTAGCCCAACGCTTTTCAAATTCCAGATTTGGTAATCGGACCTGGTCTACAATTTAATCTTAGGTCACATTTAGCTGAGGGATTATGAACTTCAGAAACCGAACCATATTATGGTATGGAGGTGAATTCCTGGAAACTGTCTGGGAATATGTCAGTGTTAGAAGAAGAGTTTACTTTTAAAATAAAAATACCAGACTTGTTTTCTATCAAAGTGAAAGTGAAACCAACTGAACTTGTTTTCCCATAAAGGAAGGGTGTGCCAGCATGTGACTGGAAATGCCAACTCACCTGTTTTTTTCCAGTTCATTGTGTGTTGACCTGCAGAAAAAAAACATAAAGAAAGAAAACATAAGGAGTCAGTGGAGAGTTCTGCACAAACAGAGAGTGAAATGCAAACTTTACATTTTCAGAAATAACCTAATTCAGTCCTGAACATGATCTTGAGAGCATTGAGAAAGGAAGGGATAAAGTGTTGACATTTTTGCATAAAAAGATTACAAGTGCAGCTTCAAAATGCAAAAAGATAAAAAAAACGGGAACAAAAAAACAAGCCATTATGTTTTAGGACATGGGAGGTTGCTGAGCCAGTGCTGTACAGGTTTGACACAATAAAAGTTATTTTAGATTTCCTGAAAGATGCACAGGATTATATTAGTAAACCCCCTCACGAAAAGTAAGTGGCTCTGAATGAAAGCATCTGGCGGAGTGTCCATTATTTGTTCTGTTTCTTCCTTCCATTTATTTTTCTTTTTTAATTCTGAGGCTCAACTTACAACCTCGTTACGATCCAGCAGCACAAAGTGAAAACACTTGTAACTTTTCCCTCTGTTCTTAAGACTTTAATCAGGAAAGTATGCAAAAGAACATCTACTTGTAATCTGAGAACAGGTATATGAGGTCGACAAACACAGGCTCAGATTTGGGATGTGAAAACTAGTCAAGACACTAATAAATCCAGCATACAGAAGGCCTTGATAAGTCCCTGGATGAACAAACATTAACATGTCATCCAAGCATTCACCGCAGCGTCCTAAAGCCTCTGACTGAACAACACACACCAGAACTCTTTGAGGACGAGTGTGACATGGAAGGCACTTATGTTTCCTCTGAGTAGAGCATTAGAGTGTGTGTGCATGTGGTTAGCTGTAAGCATGCGCGCACACACCCACACACACACAGCAGCTGTTTTTTTCCAGGGTTCAGACCTCTGTTAATAATGTGAAGTGAATCAGCTGATGCCTGAGAGTGTCTTTGTATGGAAACAAACTGAAAGGAGTCCAAGGCCTCCTCCTGATTCCTAAATTGCCAACTTCCCTTGACACACAAACTACACCCTGCCTTCTCCGAATGAGGCTCGGGTTCATGAATGCAGCATGACGGTTAGATTGACGCTGTAATTCATTCTCCGAATCCATTTTTTTTTCTTTTGTCAAATTATAGTATGTTTTTTTTTTTTCCATTTATTATTCAGTTGCAGATGAACAGAACAGTAAGAACAGAAGTAATACGTTGCCTGGTAGGAAGAAAGAAAAAAACATATTCCTTAATTTCCTTTGCTCTTGGATGCTGCGCAGCTGGAAGAAATTATTTTGATAGTGTGTTTTTTGTACACTTATTATGATGCGTGACGGTGGCAATGAGGACTTGTTTTTACAACTGGGAGCAGCTGATTAGAATCTCAAAAGCCTCCAATAATACCTGAACTACAACCGCAAATGCCATAGGAGTTCAAAGCGAGCATTCATGGATGCAAGACAGAACCAAAGAGCAGGAGGAGGAGAAAGAAATTCAAACCAACTCTTCTAGGACTGAAACTATCGTGATTAATTAATTATAGAAATAATTACCACCAAATTTAGTCATTGATTAATTGTCGACTAGAGTATACAGACTCCAAACACCGCCATTTGCTGAAATGGCTGCTGTCAGCACAGTAATTTAGACAAAACTGCAAGAAAATATACACTTTTTACATTTAAAAAGTGTATATTTTCTTTGTCGTACGCTAAAGGACCGCTTTGTTGCCACATTTTGTCCCTTATTTATAGGTGTGGTTTGATTGTTTGCTTATTTGTATCTTTCAATGCATCTCTAATGCTATGTTAAATGAAAAGCCTGCAAAATGTACTAATATTTTTATCCAGTTAATCAACTAATCGCCAGAATATTCTATAGCAAAATGTTTTCCCTAATGTTTTTCATCCATCCAACGGGCGAGGACTATATCCTCGACTTCAACATCTCTCTACCCGACTTTCTCAACATACCGCCGGACAAGGATTTAGAGAGGAGCGGCAAAAGCAAATGAGGTGGATTAGTAGTGCTTGCAAACAGCTGGGAGTGCCATCTAAGGTGCGTCGCTGTGGAAAATCATATCTGCAGACTGGAAATTGATTTGTTCCCATGTCATGACAATCAGATAGCCACAGTATGTAGTTAGAAGCATCTGCAGATTCATTCAGACTCATTGAAGATACTTGAATGATATGAGGTACAATGATATTTCATTTCCCTACAGAATAAATAAAATGCTTTGGATTCGAATTGAATTGAACTTTTTCCACTTTCTTTCACAAATCTGGACAGGGAACCCTTCCATACAGGTCAGGAAAGAGAAGCAGCCAAGAGGCTGCTTGTAACTCAGGAGCTGCAGTGATCTTGAAATTGTTGTCTTTCACAAACCGAGTCTGTATGGAAGCACATAAAGAAGATTGAAATGTTTCTGAAGCTGTTCAGAGTTCTTGGGAAGAAAAATTCAGGTTGCGGCGAGGCCGTTGATAAGTCCCTGGATGTGCAAATCAGGGAGAGACAAGCCTCAAGACTTTCAGCCAAAAGTGTTTAAATACTAAGGCAGGACACTCAGATTTTTGTTTTCAAAATTACTTCACAAACCACAAATTGTTTTTCTGAAATATAATGGTAATTCACTACTTTGTGTTGGTCTTCGATAGCAGAGAATCCCTCAAAACAAACATTGATGATTGAGGCTGTAATATTACAAATATTTATTTAAAAAAAAAAGGGTCAGAGTGCAATATTTTTCTTCTCTATACAATAGAATAATAAGACCTTTGTATTTACCATTGTGCTCAAGTGACAGACTGCACACATGAACATCTACGACAAGTAAAAGGAGCGGCAACAAACTTTAGTCACTGATAAGCTGCTAATAGTTGTTTACTTGAAACTCTCTTCAGTACCTGAATTAAAGGTTTCCATTTGCATCCACTATATCTCAGTGGTCATGCTTGGAAACTCCCAACTCCAAGATATTCACTCAAACACATCAGGATAAAAAATAAATTAAGCTTGCCAAACGTTTTCAGAAACATTCCACTTTTAAAAAAGGACCAGATCAGCAGATGTGTGTATCTGTGAGTCCACCAAACAGAAGATGAATGAATGCGCGTGTAATTTTTTTTTTTTTTTTTTTTTCATCATTTGCGTCAATAGTTGTCAGCAGCATTTGGGTTGCTTAGTACCCCTCATCCCATTTTAGCAGGACAATTAAAACTTGTTTTTTTATTACAAAAAAAATAATAAATTGCTTGTTTTCAGCTGATTATTGTTTTCACAGGACATAAACACATTAGAGGAGCAATTACAGCATGTCAAGGAGAGTAGCTTCCATTCTGTTAAAGCATTCATCAAAACAGGACGCTTACATAAACTGAAAATTATGGTAGAAATAACTTTGATTTGTACGACGGAGCATTAGGGTCAGACTAAGAGTTTGTTTTTTCAATATTACGGGAATAAAATCGTAGAACTGGTAAGATAAAGACATAATTTTGCTAGATAGTTATCAAGATCTGATTTGACCAGCTCATCTAGTTCATCAGTCTTTCTTCCAAAAAGACAGCGAGATTTGCACAACTGTTTCAAAGTCCTGCTGCTGATAATAATGTGATGCTTATGTGTTAAAAGCATCAAACATGTCCAATTTGTAAAACTGATACCAAAAGTATAACTTTACAAGATGCTCAACTCTTCATATTTTAACTTCTTATTAGTTTTTGTGTTGGATTACGACTTTATTCTGGTAACACTTTAAGCTTTTTCTCATATGTCTTTCTTTTCATACACTGTTTTTCTTGTGTTGTTATAACTTAACCTCATAAGACTGTGACTTTTGTGTATTCTGGTAACATTATGAATTTATTCTCTTATCAATACATTTTAAAATCATATTATAACAACTCTATTCCCATATTTTTTTTTTTTTTTTTTGTCTTTCCACTTTTTTCTTGCATTATTGTGACTTTATTTTGGTAGTACTGTTACTTAATTCCTGTATAATTCCAACTTTATCCTTGTATTATCGTGACTGTATTCTCTTGATATTACTCTTAATATTATGAGTTTATTCCCTTATGACATTTTTCTCTTAATATTATAACTTTTCCTGTGATTTAGCTTTAATTTTTTCTCAGCCTGGCCCTAATGCTCGACTATAAGCATCCACCGCAAAACTCTAAGTGACTTTAGTCACTCGCGTGTGACCAACCAGCCCTGACACAAGCCCCAAAAAAATCATCCAACTCGGATAGCCCAGAATATCTTAGTGTGGCCTCTTATTTAAAGAAAACAATCAAAGTTAGATTATTTTCTCGCAGAGATTTATAATCAGAAACCATTTTCCTGCATCCTGACTGACACTATCTGAATCTCCAGTACACGACAACAAAAGCAACAGAGATTATAAAGTGGCTCCAGGCCAGACATAACAGCACCAGGCGTCCTCCTGCAGTCTTGTAAGTGTACGTGCATGTGTGCGAGTGCGCACGCCCGTAGAGTGGGTCAGCGAGATAAAGCATCCCTGCTATAAACGGCAGGCGAGAGAGGACAGAGTCAGATAAGCCTGTGGCTTTAAGCCTCAACCCGCTACCGAGGAGGCAGCTGCAAACTGGAGAGCAAACGAAACGTGCAAGACGAATTTGGACTTTAATGTACATTTTAGAAAGACTAGGAGAACTGCCGCTCACAATCGTTTGAGTAATCAGTCACTCTGACGCTTAATCAAGTCATCGAATACGAAAATTGACACATTCTGCTGATTTTTCATTTCCTACTTCAGCATAGTGTTTATAGAATTTCAAAAGTATGTAAGAAATTCAGACAACTAAATCACTCAATTCCTTTTTTTAAATGCAACATCATAGCATGCCTTTAGCATATGCTTGATTATTTGTAGCAAAGGATGCAACTGGGGCTAAATAAATATAAAATAAATACTTAAATGAGCCCTTTCTGCATTACTTGACACCAGTAGGGCCGTTCTATTTTTTCAATTAACGAATTAATAATTGCACAGCAACATGACAATTTTACGGAATTTGAACGAAGTGCAGCTTATGCTGTGATACTTGAGGAGTTTTAGAAAGAAAATATATACAGACAATTTATTTTTAATCTTAAATGCAAAATGTATTTACTTTTGTATAATTAGTGCACTGATTGTGATGTTTTTCTCACCAAATTGCCTGTTTTTAGTGCGATTAATCGATCGCTAAATTAGTTGATGATTATTTCAATAATCGATTCATCGCAATTGTTTCCGCCCTAAAGTGTACCTTACCAACTCTCCAAGAGGACAACCCTACTTCTGCTTTAGGGGAGGAAAAAAAAAACAATACTTTGAAGAATGAGGTGTAGCTATATAATGACGGGCCATTACAGCTACAGGTCATCAGTGAAATAAACATACATTCTGTCCTATTTATATACAAAACAGCACTGATGAGTCAGGTCATGGTCGAAGGGCATTTTCACTGTCCTTCTGTTGACATGTGCAGGCCGTGAGTGATCTATCAAGTGTTAAACCAGAGTCCACACGAAGGTCAGGAAATGAGTTTTCAGAGCGCAGCATTGCATCCTAACAAGGTGAGCAAGTGTCGCCCTCTCTATCTGTCAACATTCATAAAATTACAGAAAACCCCAATTCAAGTTAATGGGAGGCACTGCTGCGGTTTGAAGTTGGGCTTAGACGATTAATGGAACTAATTGTGATTAATCAAACATTGAAATAATCATCAGCTAATTTAGTAATTGATCAATTGTCACCTGGAGAGTAGACTTTAAGAAAGGCCATTTGCTGAAAGAAAAACACGGTCAGAGCAGTAATTAAGTCAGAACTGCGCAAGTCTTTCATTTACGATGCAAACGTTTAACCTAGAAGTCCTCAAGCTTCACCTGGTTCAAATAGTGTAAAAAAAATATCCTAATAAGCCCCCTTCTGCTATCCATTTACTATTGCAAAACATGATCAACAGATTAGTAGACTATATATTTTCAGCTGCAGCTACATCCTTTGCTTCAAATGATCACGCAAACGCTAAAAGAAATTCCATTACAGACAATAACAATTTTATCCTCACATCTAAAAAGGTAATTGAATTATTATTATTTGAATTTTTGGTGTATTTCTAATGTTGTGTAAAAAAGCTTAAGTGGTTAAATGAACATTTTTTATCAGATTAATCGATTAATTGTCAGAATTGATTACTAAAATAATTGTTATTTGCAGCCCTAGTGTGGGTGCAAAGACACACTCGGGCTCAAGACAGAAATAAAGTGAGCTCCATCACAATATGCAACTCGAAATGGTATCAGGTAGGAAGCATGTTGATCTAGAGTGACCAATGAAACTATCTTCACGGAGAATATTTTCTAGAGTATTCCTCGCTTTGAAGAACGCCATTTTTACTTGGTGCTGATATTTTATTGCCAAAAACAACTGATTTTGTCACTTCATCACGACCGCTCCATCTGAATACAACTGAAAGGGCAAATTGTGTTGAGGCATTCCCACATATGTCTGTTTTTTCATCCAGAGTGCCATAAATAGGGCCGCAGACTTCTGATCATGACTGTTGCCATGCAGAGCGAGGCAGCATTCAGCGCTCGTGATGAGTAACGTGCAGCTCCTGTTTGTGGCCCCGTTCTCAATATTAAAAGGCTCAGAAGGCAATCGGAGGGGGGAGCTCGCGTTTGATGTGGGACTGTTAATGGGCAGCGTTACGTATGTAAGCAGGAGGAGAGGATCTAATGCCTCCAGGAAGGGTGGTGGTGGAAGCGGGAGTCGACATGGAGGATCCATTTCTGCATCCAACTACAGGCTCATGTCTTGGAATGGAGAAGAGGCTTATGTTGGAACTAGGCATGAGTTACGCTGACAGTTTAAGGTCCTTTTAATGAAGCGTTGTTTATTCTTTCTGCCTGAAACATCCTCAGTGCTGCCCCTCCCCTACATGTTACTGCATCTAGTATGTTAGCTAGCTGAAAGAAAGCAATTAAGCCTTGCCAACAAGAAAAATCTGGTAATTATTCCCTAAATCTAACAGCATAAGTAGCAAGAGAGGACACTATGTCAGTGGTGAGTAGATGGTAATTAACAGCTAACATTAGCATTAGCTTGACAACAGGCTATAATTAAAATTAGAATGACGGTAAATGAATGTCACCAACGCTTACTTTAACTCAGGACTTACTTTAACTGTTACAAGCAACATGTGATTCTATTTAGCAATGACTGGAATAATAATTTGCTTTTGATTCAAAAGCAAATTATTATTCCAGTAATAATAATTACTGGAATAAAAATGTAGAAAATGTAGTTTCTAAATTTTTGTTTTATTTTAATTTGTATTTATTTTTTTGTGACCGGATGAACAATTCAGGTAGCTGATGCTGATTTAGGGTTTCCTTCGAGGTCTGACTCAGTTTTCAAGATATGTGAAAGAAATGAAAACACTTTGGCAGGTTAGACGAAGTCAGTAGATTCTAAAACAATTAAAAACACATGAGTTAAGACTATTCCTGCTACTGTAAATGTGCTTATGACTATGTAATTTTTTATTGGCCATAAAGAAATAAAGAACTGTTGGTTTTGTTGATTTGTCACTCTTCGACGCCATAATCAGGGGAAAACTGTCTGATTCCGATCAGTGGCCGACTGACTGATAAAACTTTCAGAGCAGGGTCCACATGTTTTATTGTAAGGGCAGGCGCACCATATCCAGAGGTTACACAGTCCTACGTCCAGGTAAGATAAGGTAAGGTAAAGTGATTTTATATATCTAGCAGACTTTCAGCAAAAAGGCAATTCAAAGTGCTTGTTTCACATAAATTTTTTATATATCTTTCTACTGTTGAATAAAGGTCACTAGCGCCACAGAAACCAAATAATTTTCATTCCATATCAATCACAAACTGACCCCTGGTCAGTAAGAACCTTACTGGGAATCTTACCTATATAAAGCCAAGGGTGGGATAATTCCAGAAAAACCAAAATATGTTTTGTAATATGCGCATTAACTTCATTCATTATTATTACATTCAATTATTATGGCAGTAACTAGCGTTACGTTGTTTTACTTTTGCAGCAGTGCATATTACTGGTGCTTGCCTGCTTTATTTTCTAACTGAATGTTATCATACTTTAAGGATTCTGCCTATATGATTAAGAACGCATGTGGTTGCTGTACAAGGGAGGGTTGGATCTAAGGTTGCGTTTTCCCTGTTAGTCCTTCACAAGCAAATCTCGTGACCATACAGAAACTCGCAGCGAGCTAGACTGTAAGGTGAAAGAGAAAGTAAGAACGTCAGGTAACCTACCGAACATGTACGAGTGCCAACATTCATACGAGAAAAACAAACTAAAGTCCTTTTAAAACGATGACAACGAGATTTAGACGTTCTTCAAAAACAACGCCGCAATGCTGTTGCTTCTGAACTCACTTTTACCATAGATCTCCACTCTGGATCAGGAAGTCAGTTTGACAATCAGCTGGTGAAACGCTGCTTACGTCACACGTGCCTTCCTCTGAGTAATTCCAAACTACTCTGTGCTACCATACATTTCCCAGCAAAAAATAAATAATAATAACAAAGGAAGAAAAAAAAAGCCAGAAGCAGACAGAGATGATATTCTCACCTGTTGTGGTTGCTGCTGAACTTTTTATTCCGGAACTTCCTCTGCCTCTGGTAGTTTGTGCTCTGGTTTAAAGGGAAGGTCGAAGCATATCCATGTTCGCACTCTGAGGGACAGGAAACCAACGGTTACAACTGACAGCCACGCACACGGAAAACCGGCTCCCCCCTTTTTTTTTCCTTTTCAACAGTCAATTTAAAATACATTAAACACACGTCACCTCTTTCTCTTCTTTCTATGTACTCCGCTGCCTCCAGTAACCGCTGGATATTTATTAGCTGGACATCGGTCATTCTTCCCTGAGGCCGTCTGCCGTTAACGTTTCACCTTCGCAAACGGCAGGAACGCTCGGTCGCTTTTTAAAAAAATTGATTTGTTCACGGAAGACAGGACTGCATCTAATGGAACTGGCTGTGTGGAGGGTGATAGAGGGGGAATAAAAAGACACCTTACTGACCTACGCGGAGCTTTTCTTGCGAGCTCTAATAAAAATGATGGTATAAAAAGTCCAATCTCTCTGAGCTAGCAAAGCTACTACTAAACAACCAGCAGTTTTTAAATCTTGTTAGAAAATGTATCAAAGGGATATTTTTTCTAGACAACAGGCTATCATTTTTTTTCCTGTTTTGTTACAAAAAGAGATGTGAATAGAAAAGTGTCCCTAAACGAGCCAGAACCCAGCAAAGCGGCTGCTGCTCGTTTCTTCTCCTCTCCTGTTTGTTTACCTAGCCGCTCAGCTGGGAGGCGGGAACTAGGGAGGGGTTAGAGTGAGGTAGGCTGGTTCAAACGCGGTGCATTCTGGGACATTGAGTATTTTTTAGTGCATTTGCTTTAAGCTACCTTTTGAAGTTACAGGTCGGACATTTTCGAAGTGAAATTAACAAAATGTATTTAGATATATTTAATCACATTTATAGTAAAAATATGTCGCAAATATTTGCCATCATAAATCGATAGTACAAATTGAGAAAAGGGGCAGGATTAAATAAACACAGAAGTAGTAAGCTAATTAATGTGTTCTTGATTTTCTATGCATGTTACTGCTTTGCTAGAGTTTTAAGAAAAAAAATGTTTGAAATAAATAAATAGAAAATGAATTTAGATGCTTCATCAAGTTCTGTTATAATTCACAATTTCACTAAGATAAAACTTGTGAACAAGTTTAGCAAGCACAGTACGAAGCACCAAAAGTGACAAATTCTGGTAAACGAATGGATTTTACATATGTGCATAAAAATAACTATGCAGATACATGCATTAAAATGAAAAAAAAAATTAAGCTCTACATATTTTAAGGTATTTATCATAAATGCATTTAATGTGTGAATTTATTAATAAAAAATAAAAAATGTGGTAGTTATAACTGAAATCTCCTGATGGTATCTAATTATTAGGTTTTTTTATGATTCTCACAGTTATGTGCTACAGTGTATCATAAAATAATTTGCACTGAGGAGCTGTGAGCGTTGATGACATTATTAAAGAGAAAACGATAAATCAGATGTTAGGATACTTATTCTTTGATCTAGATTTCAATTCTGACATTTATTTATAGGTTTTTTAAAATCTGCATGTTCAATTATAGATTTTTTTTAAATATCATCACTTGTTATAAATTATATCACAAAATCCATTAATATCCAAAATAACAAAACGTTATTTTGGATATTTATGGATTTTGGCTCTTTGGCACGCCATACCTTTGGATATGAAAGTTTGCTTTTGGAAGGGCAAATTTTTATCAAATTTATCTAAATAATAATCCACAACAAATATCAAATCAAAGAGCAAAGCTGATCCTGGTGTGTTGTTGCATTAGTAATAAAACAATATCTAAAGAAACGCCTACATAACAGTGGTAGTTATGACTGAGAAATGAGGATTTAAAAGTACTCAAAGTCCCAGACTTCACCGCGGCGGTGGGAGTGTTCTTCTCGGCTTAAGCCAGGCCCAGCAACACGTGACATCACAGACAAGCACAAGCCTAATTGGCGGACGGCTTTGACGGGCATGGAGGGCTTAACCCGCGGCTGACCAACCACGGCGGAGATCTGCGCCATGTGGAAAGCGCCGCAACACGCCCCCAAATAGCAGGAAGCAAACAATTTGAGAGGAGAGCTGTCTCGAGCAAGGTGATGAAAATTCCTACGTTACGAGTGGAAGAAAAAAAGTGCCTTCTCGCGTGCGCAGCCCTGGAAGTATTAACATGTCTGTGCTGAACGTAAAGCGGCTCTTGTAGACTGGCGATAAAATGCAAAGGCATGTCCGACGAATCATGCCCGAGTATAAGGATATGATATGATATTTTACAGTATGCGTTGCTCGTACTGTATTATTGTTTATTTAAACGCCACCAGATTACTACCGTAAAGGCCCGAGTCTTCGTGCATTTCGAGATTTGCCGTCTGCATAAAGTCTCATAACTTATTTATAGTTGCATAAACGCTTCCGAGATGGAAGCTGACACGTCAAAAACCCAGAATCACACGTTCCGCAAAAAACTCACTTGTATTCACTGTGTATAAAAAAACAACACTTTTTTTTCCTTTTTTTTTTTTTTTTTTGCCATATATGGCCCCCTGTGGAGTTTGCTGGGGCACAATGACATCATCCCAAACTGAGCCCCTGGAGGACGCTGCAATGTGATCAGGTTTTATTGGAACAGCCACACTCACCTAAAGATCACCGGGGTCCATGTTGCACTTTAACTGTGCTGCAGGGAAAATGACTGGTCCCTGTTTATTCAGAGTTGCAGAGGCACACAGCGACGATACCTACTGCGGATAACGCACAGAAACAATCTCAACACGAAAATCAAAGCCGCCCCCCCCTTTCTCCCTATCATTTTCTAACGCGATGATTAAATCGCACGTATTGCCCGTGCAAACCTGCCCCAGGCTGTGCTTATTGCAGACAGTGGTGCACGAGTTGCACGAACTCAGCCCTTTGTTGTCTGAGGCTGTTGACAATGAGGTGATTTTTTTTTCGTCCTCCTGAAATTGAAATGAAATGTAAAGGGATAAAAAAAAAAACTGCAGCAGAGATCAACTCACTTCCGTCCTTGCGCTCGGCACTCTCCACGATCCTGGCAGCATCCAGCAGCATCTGAACGTTTTTCAGGAAAGTGATCTGCTCCATGTGGGAGTCTTTGGAGTTGAAGACGTCATTGAAAGCGCAGCTGGACATGTCGAAATCTTGCTGATCCAAGAGGGATGCTTCCGAATCAAAGAAGAAGTCGTCACTCTTCAAACTTCGTCTTTGCCTCTCAGTTTTGGCCATTTTTCCCCTGATCTTCTTCTTCTTCTTTTCTTTCTTTCCTCTCTCTGGAGTTTTAGCGCTTTTCTAAAGACGCGCAGAGCGCTGAAAGCGGTGCGGCAGCAGGAAGCAGTTGGCGTTGCTCTTGTTAGATGGCTTTTCTCGTTTCTTTCTTTCTGTTTTTATGAATGCAGGGTGTTTAATGTGGCCTGAGTCAGTGGATGCTGGTGTATGGGAAAGAGGAGGAGGGCGGCCCCTCGGTGCCTGAGGAGTCCGCATGGTCCCTGTGCTCGCATCCATGGAATTATCTGGGATTTATTTTATTTTTTTTAATCGCAAATTTTCAGTCCTACACAATAATAATAGTATGGAACAAGTCTGGTTTTATTAGCGTCAGGTCATCAGTTACAAAAGTGACAAAAGTGAAGCACTGATCCGCCTGTTGTTTAGTTAATAGCAACAAGAAACTGCATTAATAACAGCAAGCCAGTTTAGTAGCTTTTGTTTTTATTGGGTTGGACGAAAGTAGCACATTTTATTCTCCCGACCTCCTGGAGCTTTAAACATTTTTGCTACATTGCAACCACCATACAAAAAAAAAAAAGAAGGACTTTACAAGAAGGACTTTACAGTTTAAGGGAAAAGTGTGAATTTGAAAAAGTTCAGAACCACAAGAAAAACCTTGTGGTTTCACACTAGGTGTGGATAATTTCACACCTAGTGTGAAATTATCCACTGCAATAAAAGATGAGTGTATTTATAAAGAATGGGAAAAAAATATTTCTACTAGAGGTGCCAGTGAATGCAAAAGGCCCTGTGTATAACATTTATTGCTTTCTGATATATAATAAAATTCCTCATGTGAGCCCTTCTTACCTTACAAGTACACAAAACCACATATGTTGTTTGGAGTACATGCAAACAACACATGGCCGGTTGGATGTGAATTGAGATAAATCTGCTTTGACGGGTTGGAAGACTATTTTATTGTACATTTCTATGGATTGTATTTTAGAGTATGAACAACAAGCTGTAGGACTGGTGGAACAAACATGGATGTGCAGACTAAGGGCAGAGGCTATGCCTGTATTTTCTTCTCATCATTCGTGTTGGTAGTGTTACTTGGTGTTTTTGAAACACATGCCAAACCTAACATGACTAGTCCAGACAAAAGACGAGGTCTCGTCAGAGGAGCACAAAGATGTCACTGTACCATCAGATGCACCTGCATCCGACGAAAGAAAAAAAAAAGAAGAAGTCACTCAGAGGTGCATTTGTTTTCCTTGATCTTGTGCCATTTCCAGTAGACCTTTTGATGGGTTGCCGCACCGGGGTCCGTTTTGACACAGAACACGTTGAGGCACGGCCCTGTATTAAGTCCTGACAAGCCACCCTAACCACCTCCCACCCACTTCAACCCACCCTTCTACCCCTGCTCTCCTTTGCCACTTCAAAGGGGCTGGCAGCCACACATATTCGTTTGATGTAAAGTTCACAGAAACAGAAACTTTCAAGTCCAGGGAGCGCATGGGTGGAATCTCTGAAGGGCTCTCCTTCTCCTGCCCTTTCACCTCCAAAGCCTCAGTGAGGGGTGGCTGTGGAGGAAGGAAACCCCCTTGAGTTGTTGGCCTATTTTAGACTACGAGAGCTTCTAGCACCCTCACACGTCCATATAGGAGGATTTTAATGAGCAGTCGCTCTGGGATTTCAACCCAAACATCCCTGCTTAGACCGCAAGGCACCATTAGAAAGCTCAAGTATCTCAGGTGGTAAATGCAAGGTGTGACGAACTCTGAAAACTTGATTACAGCATTTACGATCCAACCTGAGAACCACAAGGCAGGAGAATTAAGGAACTCCGCACTACACCAGTCACGCGTCCCAGAGGGCAAACTCTAGTAACAGTGGGAAAGTAAAGATTTATGAGAGATCACTGCTTCGAGGAGGCACGTCCTACAGACACAAAGTGAAGTCAAACCCTTCCTCTTCACCAGAATCACTCAGATTAAAGGCCACTCTGTGATCCTTTTCTTTGAAGGCAGTGCTCGTGTCAAAGTGTAGTGAAACAGCTTCAAAATCAAGAGGAAAGACAAGTGCAGAGGTCAAACACTCATAGTAAGAAAGAGTTCTTTCAACTTTTGCGAAGATCAGCTTATTGGTTTGGGAAGGAGGGAAATAGATGAACAAACACCAACATCAGCCAAAGAAGAATGACATGGCAGCTCAACGAGAACTCAGTGCCTTGCATTAGACGGAGGCACAAAAAGCAACGCCCAACAATACCAATCAAGAGTCCAAACCAGATAATACCTTCCACAAACTGATGTCATTAAAGAAACACAGACCCTGCTCAAGAATCCCCATTAAAGACATGCACCCATTTGATCAGTGTTAAACCGTTGAGTGGTGGTGCGACTGGTAGCTCAAAGGCCAGTCTTTGTGCTTCTGTCCATCTTCTTCATACGTTTTGTTCTTCCTCCCACAGTCAAAAA